GGGTATATATACACTCAATTACCCAATGTCTCCCTGTTTGAATCGATAAATGACGGGTATATATACACTCAATTACCCAATGTCTCCCTGTTTGAATCGATGAGTCACGGCTATACAGACACTCAATTACCCAATGTCTCCCTGTTCGGATCGATGAATCACGGGTATGCATACCCATGTATTCCTGTTCGAATCAATAAATCACGGGTATACATACACTCAGTTACCTAATGTCTCCCTGTTCGAATCAATGAATATTTCAGAATTAAATTAGAATCCACAAGAAGTTGACAAAATTCTTGCTACTAAAACTGTCAGCCCATATTTGAAGAACAATCTCCACTGCTTGAAATAAAGTGGAATTAAACGTAAATAACTTACACATAATCGTTCATCCAGACAAAAAGTAGTCCAAATTATATTGAACAGCACTAAGTAACAATATATTTACAGCATTTCGATTTTTTATAGTAAATTTTGCTGATTTTTATCATATTTGCTAATAAACGCGTTAACAAAGTCAAAATACTTACTGAAATCTCTTTACACAATGAGCCGCAGTTAACACGTGTCTTTCGCTAATCAGGCTTCCGCCACACTGGTAAAGTTTAACTTTGTTTTCCTGCTTCAGAATTGCCGCCTATATTAAGAAACGTTCATTGACTGACGAAAGAGTTTGATGAACAATTTTCTTATGATATATGTAATACATATGAACAATCTGTAACAACTTCGTTATTTGACTGGGCGTAAAGTAGCATCGTATGTTTTACTTGTATTGTTCCACAAATATGATCTGGTCTTTTATTTTTAAAGCTTGCTGTCAGATATTCATACCAACATAACAACACATGTGGTGTTTACCAGTGATATATGGACAGTCTTTGGATTTAACCTACATGTATATCCAAGTTTTTTCTGATCTTCACGAGAGTTATTTAAACAGTCTGAAGTTAACATTGCATTGCACTGATAAGTGGTATTTGAATTACTAAATCTAGTACGTACGAAGAGACAATAGCATATATAAAACTGACACATTAGTTTGTTTGGTTGTTATAGACTGATTTTATATTATAACAATCATTAGGCTGTATCAATGTTATCAGTTCTAGCATCAAAAAATAAGAAACAGTTCGAGCAAGCTCTAACAAAAGGCTGAATGTTAGCTTGCTTGATTGGTTAAATTAACTAGCAATAATATTGAGCATTCAACTATACAATATACATATCCATTCCAGAAAGCATTTCATTCCAGCAACTCCCGAAAGTAGTGATGATGCTAGTGTGTCTTATAATTTTTTATTCTTGATACCAAAGTTCTAAATTGATATTTTCTTACCTGCCAAGGCCATTCTCCAAACTTCGTCTCTCCTTCTCGCTCCCCTGATGCAACAGGAGTACCAACACCATTTACGTTTCGGATTCCGCACTTGCGACGTTCTTCGGTTCTTTTCATGGAAATTTCACTCTGAGGCTTATTGCAGCATATGTGATAAGGTCCACATTTCTTAGGCTGTGAGTCTTTATCTTGCTCTCTACCATCCTAATCAAAATTATTATAAATTTCTTTACGTCTGAAATATTTAACATATAAATTTCGTGTTTTTTGATACAATCCACTAAAATGTACTCGTTGCAGGATTAAACTCATACAGAAAATTGTGAGTGGACTGTATCGGGTTAGGCAAATCTTCGAAAAACTGATTTCAAGACAAATCACAGAGCAAACAGGTGTCTGTAAATTGTTGTTACCCCCAAATTAGTGGCTGAAGGGTATCCAACCTTCCAAAACAGTGTATGGATGCCCTTTTTATTATATCTTCCTGTCTCTACAACGGAAATTACTACCATACCTTCTACCAATTCCCTTATAATACTTCCATTCATAAAATGAAACCACACATGATGGTGCTGAAGACCACACCAAGACATATTTATTCGTTCTCTAATTCTTCTCTGACAAAGATAGTCTTGGCGGAACTGATGTCACCCATGAAATAAATGTAAACTTTTCTGTGTGTGCATTGGTTCTAACCTCTATATTTAAGCTTACGTTTGCCTATTTCTTTAGTCTCAACACAATTAACACTAATGTAAAAGGCATACATCATCGTAAATTAAAACTCCAAGCCTGTATATCCACTGTGTGTAAGGAGCTTAATGCTGATTTATCTGCTTAACACAACAATCGTGAATGCGAAACGCCGGCACTCCTGGTGCTTTCAGCATCGAGATTGAAAAGAACTATACAAAATAATTATAAGGAGAGATGTATCGCTCTACTCAATGTCTGCTTCATATGCACCTACGTTTGAAAACATTCTAGCAAATACCTTGCATATTACTTTGTTGTCCCCCCCCTCCCCTGTTATGAGTGAAGTATTTCGAGATTTTATACGGAGCTACATCGCCCGTATTAATGAAACTCTATAGGAAAGTACCATATCTCTTTCAGCATCATGCCATACTTCACGCTAGCCGTCCCTAATTTAGCAGTATAAGATTAGAGGGAAAGCAGCTAGTCATCACCACCCACAGCCAACTCTTGGGCTACTCTTTTACCAACGAATAGTGGGATTGAACCGTCACATTATAACGCCCCCACGGCTGAAAGAGCGAGCATGTTTGGTGTGACGGGGCTTCGAACCAGCGAGCTGCAGATTGCGAGCCCTAACCACATGGCCCAGCAGTAACGTAAAATAAAGAATAAAAATAATCCTTTATCAATCTGGAGCTCTTATTTGAATCAAAGTGCAGAATTTCATAATCTTGTTTGTTTTTAGGTTTGAAAGGTTTCGCTAGAAACACGGGTTTATTAACCTTTTACATTTTAAACATTTGTAGCAAGTTTTTATTTATTATTTTTTTATAATCTTGACATTTGATTTAAAGTTTACTAAATTCTCCTAATTTGGAGGAAAAGTAAAATCTTTAGCTGAAATACTCCGACAAAAAAGGAATAAAATAGACAACTACACATGCAATAATCATGTTTATTTGCCTGGTATACCCTTAATACAACGCTAATGTACTACAATATTGTGAAAATTAGTTTTATATATTTTAATTAATTAAGTCCCATGCATTTTATAATTTATTCTGGATCTATATATATGTCTTGACTGGCAACTTTATTAGCACCCAACTTGTATCAATGATAATAACCACGACTCATCAAGGTGCCGAAATACTGTATTGTTCGAGCATAGACTATTTGGGTAGAAGGGGTGAAATGGCTTCCAATTTGGTCGCAGACGTCAGCAAAAAATTTCAGTGAGAGGAAAAGAATTCAAATTTATTCCAGAGACGTTCAATCGAATTCAAGTTTAGATATTGTATTTCCTTAGGAAAATGATTGAAGTCACTGTCGTGCTCTTCACACCAATATTGAATAGTACAAGCACTGTATGTTGTTGTGTTATCGTCTAGAAAAAGCCCTTGTCCAGTAGGCCATATAGCTTTGTGGGGTGGTCATGACTAGCAACAATGTTTAGATACATCTTAGATATTATTCACTATAAAAAAAATCAAAGGACTCAATTCCTGTCATAGCATAGTTACCAAAACCATTATACAATTCCGACAAACAGAATATAATTTTATCGTCCCCCCAATGACACAACTGATTGTCTGCAGACTTACAACGCTAGAAACCGGGTTTCGATATCCGTGGTGGGCAGAGCACAGAGAGCCCATTGTGTAGCTTTATACTTAACTTCAAACAAACAAACAAAAACAAAATTCTATCCAACAGGGTAGAATGCGACTTACAATTCTGAAGCTATGAAACCTTAGGTGCAAAGAAAATGCAAAACATTCTGTAAGAGCAAGCTAGAAAAAGCTGTAACATTTAAAATGTTATCAAGGCATAAAGCTATATGCAATAAACACATAATTGAACTTCTCGTAATAAATCCTGTCTAGCCATTGTGACTTTTCAGTCAGTGACCAACAACTCTTGTCAATATTATATGTAAACGTATTCGAAGGAGTATTCAAGAAATAATTTTCGGCCGCTCATCCAAAAATATCAAAGACTAATTTTCAGATGTTCATACAATTATATTAAATGAATAATTATCCTGTGTTCATGCAGTTCTATTAAATAAATATTTATCGTGTGTTCATACAGTTATATTAAATAAATATTTATCGTG